AGGTCACGGGTTCGAATCCCGTTGAAGCCCTGATTTTTTCAGGCTTCTTCTTTCCAATTGCTTAAATTGGAAAATTAACTGCGACGATCATTCTTCACTCTAATTTACCATATACCCTGACAAACGTACCACAAAACAAACTACACGTGGTACCTCACTAATAACGAACCAGAGCTAATAAAGCTAATCTAACAGTACCCGTTTCTAAAGTGAACATATGCAAATGTGCTACACAACATATTTGTTCCTATGGCCCACCCAAATTCATTAGCTTTGCATGTACCTCTACACCTTTCCAATACACCAGAATGTCAACCTTGCCTAAACACCTTTACACGAACGCACTCATAATCTATGATTACTTCTAGTACTTTAATTTTTAACTATCTTCCTAAACTACAGTTAAAATTAAATTTACAGTTTTTTTTAATTTTATTAATGCAATAACTTACATTACATTACATACGAAAATTACCTACTACTTACAATGTTAACGTAATTTACAATTTAACGATACTGTAACGAAAAGGTTTTCCGTGTGGAACTGCGCGGTTGGCGACGGATATTAACTATCAGCTTGAATACTGTGGAATACAGGAATAACGGCGGACGGACTTGTCTTAGCGGGGAAAGCTCGGAAAAGCACAGGCTCGCTGCACGGCACTCGTTACTCAATGCCAAAGGGTACAGGGTCGTTGTCTCTTGTCAGCCGGACAGTAAAACAGCAAGGACTCGCAGATCTGGAACTCTCTTGTCTTCTTTATTGTAGATTAAACCTCGTAGTACATAGGTCGAAGGTAACTCAAATATTGTACAGTACGTGCATGCTTACATGTGCTCAGGGTGCGATAATAACGGCAGGTGAACTTTAAGGTTTACAGCAAAATAAACAGGTCTTATCAATACTAACATCCATACAGGAAATTGCTAAACGTTTAGATCTTCTGTTCAAGATAAGTTCCAGGAAATTGCTCAAGATATAGATAAATAAAGGTGTCCATTGAAAATGTGCTACTTCGCATCTGAGAACAGGTGATATGAATAAATTACCGATATTAAACGAAATGCTGGACTATAAGTAATCTTAAGAGTCGAAGAGAAGTTCCTTTCTATGTCAACATTTATGAATTTGTAATTATTCTACATTTAGGATTCATACATTGTTATCTTATGACATTTCCTGTAGATTGCGATAAGTTTACAATTTTAAGTTAAGTGCGGAACTTATTTACGATAAGGATATACAGAAGAGCGAATATTACACATAAACCTACTTATAGTTTTGGGGTGTATTTCTCTTCTGTGACAATACTAACAAAACTTACAATACTAACATTATTTACGATTTACAGTTGTTTCTAACATTATTTACAGTACTAACATTATTTACAATTTACAATTTACAAGCCATCCTCAATGCGGCAGCTCGTCTCTGCACACTGGACAAGTGGCGTGCTACAAAGAAAAGAAAGCATCTTTACTCTTAAACACAACTCTCCCCCTTATAGAGATTGAATTTGGAGCCATCAGAAATGTTACCCTGTCTAGTCCTTCAACTTTTTCCCGCTACAATCCACGAAAAAAGGCCTTTATCAGGAGTTTTAACAATAGATGCTCCCGCTATACTAGCGAGACAACACTTAATTTATTGACAACAGAAGTCCAAAAAGTTTAATCAACTTTTATTTGCCACAAAGTTCAGACTCGCCGCTTCACTGTGTCTTATCAACACTACTTTCTTCGCATGACATTATTTCAGTAGGAAATTTGTATAAACCTCGCACAGTGCCAAGGAACCTCAAACTACATTCCAATAATCTGTTGATAATCTGCGAAAGGGTTGTATTTCGCCTCACTTGTTTATACGCAAATGCTCAAAATCGACTGTAGCTTTCTGTCAAGAAAAAAATTTAAGGCTACAGATAAAACTAGCTTAGTGGCTCGTTGTCAGTCAGTCAGTCAGTCAGTCAGTCAGGAAATGTTCCAGTTAAAAACTTGACAGTAACAAGTCTTCCGAGTAATAATTATCTTTTTTTTTTAATTCTTTGCAATTGAAGAGATACCGTGTTGAAATAAATTGTCTGTTTGTCAATCTGCCTGTCTGTCTGTTAATTACGCAAATATTACTGTATTTACCATTTGTAGCCATGTTGTTATGCACTGAGGATGGAATCCATGGCTGCATGGCAGTTGGGTTGTTTGCTCACCCTCTTGGAATTCGCATAAGCAGAGAGCACAACATAACTTATGAGCTGTAGGTAATTTAACCAGAAAATATCAGTGAAAACTTCAAATAAAAACATCCTTCTACAACCTTACTTCTAAAGTGCGCAAATTTACCATCAAACGACACAGAAAAAGGTTGCGAGTTTCACTAACCTTTAGAAGTGACCACAAAAATATTGTTGACGCAAACATACAGATCATTCAAGGTGGATCAGACAATTATTTAATAAACAGAAAATGACAGGACTGTATCCACAACTCTTAAACTTTGGAGCAAATTATCAATTAAAAGAGGTGAAAAGAGAGAGAAAAGAAATGCTTCATCATCTCAGCAGACAAAGCCAAGACTCACCCACTTTTTCCGGAGTCACTTTAACTGTCACTAGAGAAGTAATCACCTCCGGAAGAGCTGGAGGGGAACCCTCATTGGTGTCCTGGGGATGAGCGGTAAACAACTTAAAATACAAATACATCAGTACAAAAATTAGTGTTTGGGATGTTCCTTGTTTAGTCGTCTCACGTTCGGCCAAACCCATCGAACCCATTGCAATTGGTGGAGCCCGGGAATTCAGTTGCTAAAGACAAGATAAAGAGCTAAGGAAAGGATTGGATGATTTGTTCTGTTCAAGAGTTTGTTAACGCAGTTCTTAAACATGTATCACTGTNTCCCTACCAAGTGTACTCCCTATCCAGCCTGGGGATTGTCAAAATCTTTAAGTTATTTATAACTTTCCTAAGGGATATGGAAACCATACGCTGTAAATTCCCCAGTTTACATTTCTTTCCATAGCCTCCTAAAATCCACAATTTACACCCATACAAATTGGTCAGTCTCCATAATGGAGACAACTGCCTCGTGTACGGAAATATGGTGCAATACTGTTTACACATGGGAAGAAGTAGCTGACATCAGAGTGGCCTGGCGACATGCAGTATCTTTAGGAGTCGGGAGGGCTGAGAATACCAGAAATGACCAGCAGGTCTTGAAGAGAACCAGAAGGAAGACCAGGGCAGCCTCAATTGCAGCATCATCCTCCTTCGTCTGCGTTATTTGCAACAGAGATTGCCACTCCAGAGTGGGACTCTATAGCCACTCGAGACGATACTCCGCATCGACATAGCGCTACACCATCGTCTCCCGAGACGAACGGCTGCCGACGACGACTTTTTACTAACCTCTTGCACATCAGTTGTCTCCCACTCCATCCTGAAAAGAAATCTTTGTTTTAGTTCTTCAGTGCACTTAGTTAATTATTTAGTTACTCATCCCCTAATTGTAGATAACTGTTCTTGCCTGTTGCTGGTTGTAATATCGTGCTACACTTAGTACTTCTACCAAACAGTAATCCGTTGCCTTTACTCGATCTGCTATGTATGGGTTATTGACCAAGTGTGAGGTCAAGATGGCAGGATATTGGCCAAGTTCTTTTTTTGTGTGTTTATGGACTGAGACGGAGTCGAGGTCCATAAACTCGCAAANGGGACATGGCGGGTAGTCCCGCGCGGACGAGATAGCTCCACCTTGCCCGCTCGGGTAGCCAATCACAGCGCAGGATTTGATTCATCTTGCCCGCTCACGGAGCTAGCCATATAATAATAGAAGATCTTGCACACTGTAGGGAGTGTTTTTTATTTTCGCTATTTCGCCATGTACAGAATCACATCTTTTTGGCCTTTTCTTAGGGTTAGTTTGGGCAGATTCATCATTGTTAACCAGAATTACCACTTACTCCCCCTTCTCCTCTTCTTGTAATGTCAAACCTTCCATTCTGAAAAGAAATGTTTGTTTAACTTCTTCATTGCACTTAGTTATTAATTTAGTTACTCATCGCCTTTCCCTTTATTCTGCTAACTGGAGTCCATTTTGTAAACGGCTACCGGGACGTTACTTTAAGAGCACACTATCGGGTTTAGTATTTCTTTGCAACGCTTTTAGCGTAGGTAGAATTATTCCACAGAGTAAAGATTTTTGTCTGAAGATCTTTTTTCTTTCTCTGCTGAATACACCAAAACTTCTCATAAACGAGATTCTTTCTTTGTACGGCCAGTGCAAAAATTCAAACATTGCACGTATCGAGGGGTTGTTCGGGTAGTTATGTACAACCCCTAAACTCAATTGACAACTGTTTAATCATTAGCTTTTAAGTTAACAAACAACAATCACAAATAGGGTTACCGGTCACCAGGTTACTTCTAAGTTACCAGTTACGATTAACGGGATTACCGAAAAAAAGTGATTGGCCGCTATAGTCGGCATTTCGTTGAACTTAAACCGGGTTAAAAGGTTACCATGGCACAAACAAGTGCATAATCTTCTACTGAACACTGTTAATTGTACCTACAATTCGATACAGTTGTATTACCAGAGCGTATTTCTACTTTTTCCTAATATGCTTCTGCTATACCATGTCAGTGGAGTTTGCAAGGAAGCAATTGACGCCTCAACCATGGCCTTAACAGGAAGCGCTCGTTGAGCTTAGAAGGAAACATTTTTATCGACCTCCGCAAAGCACAGAAGTGTATGTCAAAGGGAAGTGACAATTCGTTAAAGTGACAAGAAATGCAGATCAACGAATGAATCCGTGAACACTGTTAATGACATTTTTCAAACCTAACAGCTGTACACCGAGAGTTTTTCCCAATCCCTTTAAGCCATAATCCACGTTTCTCTATCTGTAAAGATGCCCTGAAGATATATGGGAAGTTTGTTGGTTTAGTTCCATCAATTGCTATCACATTTTGAATAACAGCATTAACAATACAGCTCTCGTACACCTTAACACTTACTGTCCATATACTTGAAAGTTGTTGTATTTTTCTAGGGGCCACGAAGGTCACGTGAACTGAATTTTCCCGCCAATTCTTGTACTTATACAAGAAAACGATAAATGGTATAGAAAGACAGAACAAAGGTTGAGAAATTTAGACTTTTGAGTTTTGTTTATTGCATTCCACCCCTTACCCCATACTTTCTTGAAAATGGCATGTTTCTAAAGATCCATAATTTCCTAATGTAGCACATTCATGATGTCATATCACAATTTGCGTCTTCGATTCCAGAAAGTTAAGTGCTTTATTTCAGGCATGCAATACTGATAGTTCCTGATGGCGTTAATTGCACGAAAGCAAACAGGACATTTTAGAGAGTTAAAACAGTGAAAAAGAAGAAGTAAAAATAAAGGGTAAAAAGGCAATGATAATGACAAGAAGGAAGAAAAATAATAAATAAAAGGAAAATATGATGTCTAACTACCTACTATTCATCCGTTGGTATCAAACAGATTTCAACGATGGACAAGACGAAAAACCAACAGAAGAACCCAAGATGAAGAGCGACGAAGGTATTCAATTACTTATTAATTATCAATCAAAAAAACAGAATGAAGAAAAAATAACTGAATTTAGGAAGGTTCAAAGGAAGGAAAAATAAGAAGATGAACTGTAATGGCGTCTTTTGTATGTATGGCGTCTTCTGTA